CAATTGCAGTGGAAGTATTGACAATTCTTTAAAGACAAACTCGTTGTTGGCTCTTTTAAAACCTTGAACGTCTACGATAAACTCCATGTTGAAGCAGGAATGAATTTCTGGCCGAGAGGAGCTACTTTTATAGTAATCATCCCCACCACCACTACATTATCCCCACTCCTTTACAATAATTTCTTTACAACACCGCTGATTGGTTTGTATTGTATGACGCGGTCATGAATAATTAGGCAATAGGCAGTGGTTTCAGCCGGCATGTTGATTCCTGCTTCAAATTCTAAACGCACATTAACTGACGCTTGTTTTAGAAATTCATTTTGTTTAGAACAATCAATAATAATTAGAGGAAACAGACTTTTAAAAATATCCTTTGTTAAAATAGGTTTTGAATCTTTACCATAATAGGATGATTGAAAATTAGCGTACATTTCATAATGTAGAGAGTACTGATTTTGATCAAAGTTTAAATTTAAATTTCCATAAGGATAATATTGTGAATTTAAAAAGAGTTTAACGTTTGTAATATTACAATGGTCAAAATGACAGGCATATTTTTTACGTTTATCTTTTCTCGCTGTTTGAAATCCAACAATAACATAACGTGGTTTCTCTAATTGCGTTGATGTTTTAATTTGCCACAAAACTTTTGAACTTGTAGGAATTAAAGGATACTCATACATTTCCCATGATCTAAAACTTATTGAAATTAATGGATCCTTTTAAATAAATTTTAACAATTTAACTTTGTTAGTGTCAGAAGGTAAAACGTATGGAACCATCCATTCAAGTTTATTAATGAAAAATTTGAATTCTTCATCCCCTCCTTGTCCTGTTTGAATTACGGCATTGACGTCAGAACGTGATCTTGTTAAAATAAGTTCATGTTTAGCGTTCATAATGATTTTTTTATAATCTTCGGCAAAACCAAAAATCATGCTGAGTGGTATTGTGACGTCAAAATATCCATTTTCCAATGTAAGTCTTGCATCAGCTGCAAGTTTTGAATATCCAGCATTTTCAATAAAATTGAGCTGAGTTGGAGTTTGTGAGACATAATTTTTCATGATTGTAATATGTCCAACGTATTTGCAGCGATCAATTTCAATTCCATTTAGTTCATAGCGAATTTCATCAAACAAAAAACATACATCATTATTACTTAAATGCACGTTTTGTGTAAGAGTAATTCCATCATTTTTAGTTAATCTACCAAAAATGTGTAATGAACTTTTACTAGGTAAAATGCCCAAGTCTTAATGTTGTACTGCGATTCGAATTTCATCGCTATTATTAAACGATGATGATGCGTATGGTTGATGAGCATGAATTTCATAATGAGCTATTGACTCATCAAAATTCACTGCTGCTGAAATATTGAGAAGTTCGTCCATTTTTATTGCAACAGCAACCAAAAAATATGTAGATTAATTGTCTTGTTGTCTTATTTTCTTTCCTTGAAATTTTAGACCTAGTTCTTGCAGAAAGAGGCGATTCTGAGGTGTTAACACCTTGTGAGACAAATTTAGACTGATTGGTTGACTTTTATAGTTTCCACCAACAACAGCTCTTTGATTATAAACGATTTCCATTACAAAGACTTTACATGCAATCAAATTGTTATAGTTTCTCCTCGAAAATTTATTAAATCACCGTCCTGATCGACAATTCGCAGTTGTATATTACGTATTGTCTTGGTGGCAATCGGAAGGTAAATGACGTGAGCTGGCACTTCCACAATCTTATATCCTGGTGGAACGCTGGGGAAGAACTCATGAATGGTGTGGACTTTTTGATTATTTATATATGCTCCAGATGTTATGTTGCACTCAATTCTCACTGAATTGACCTTTAGAATGGCTACAGGTAAATCAGAAGTATGTGCTCTATGAGGTGCTAGAAGCTGAGATGTAAATCCCAACAAATTACCAATTGAGTCTTTAGGGTTAAAATCAATTGGTAAATTGGATTTAACTACACTGCGCAAAGTATTATTATTCGGTTTTATACTAATAATAGTTCCGATTTCTACAGAATTTTGTAAATATGACTCAATATCTTTAATTTCATAACTTCCAGTTGAAATGTCAATTACTTGATTTCCAACGTAAAATTTGTTATATCCTTTATCAATATTGGGAATTAAATTAAAAGTCAATAGTTCAACAAGACCAAGTACATAACTTTTATTTGAATTTAGCTCTATTGGTGGGAAATATTCAGCTTCGAGAACTGAAGAATTTCCCGTTAACGTTAAAGTAAATGAACCACTCATCTTGCTATCAGATTTTGTACTGAAAGCTTACAATAGTTACACACTTTTATATAGGTTAAAGCTACTCTTAATATTTAGTTGATTACATAAAAATTTAAGACACAAGTGCCCGCATACAAATGTATCATAATTTTGAAATCTTTCATGATTATAATTTATTAAGCTACCATCACCTAAGTAAATGACAAGATCTGTTGGTGGAGCAAGGTTGCCAAAACTATCAAAATACATTGTTTCATTTCTAAATTTTTTATATGCTACCCAATGTGTTCCTGCACCTTCTTTATTATCAAGATTAATTATTCCTGATTCACACTTGTGAGGACCACTTACAGGTAGTTCATTTCGCATAAAAATACCACGAAAATGAGGTATTTTGGCAGCTTTGGCATACTTTAACAGATCAAAGTCAGTTAATGGTCGGTTCAAAACAAGATTTTTGTTTTCCTTCTTGTTGTTCTCTTTTTTCTTGATGCTCGTTTTTTAATTCCTTTTCCTTGAATGTAGGGTTTCAAGTGGAGACCAAGTCCTTGTCGATAAGGTTTAAGGTGTAATCCTTTTCCAAGCGATATAGCTTCCATTGTTTTATTGTGACGCTGAGCTTCTGAAAGCTGTTCACTGGCTGTTTTAGCCTTATTAACAGCCCTTGCTATTCCTGAAGCTCCTCCAGCAAGAGCTCCTAAAGCACTAAGTCCAGCAAAAATTGGAACTAGCGGTAAAATTCCACCTACTTTAGTAGGTACAGGAAGAATTCTAGGTGATAGAACTTTGGATTTACCACCAACATTTTTTATTGCTTTTCGTGCACCAATCATAGCTGCTCTAATTGATTCTTCAGCATTATTACTAGGAACCATACTTTTTCGTGCAGCATCTACAATTTTTCTTAGTGCTATCCTTTTCTTCCTACATATTGTTTTTCTTTTTTTCTTTCTAATGGATGATTTTCTCCTTCTTTTCATCCCCATACATAATTTAGATTTAGCTTTTATGGTTCCTAAAATAGCTAAAGCAGCTGCTCGTTCACTTACACCAGAATCTTTAGCTGTAAAACGTTCCCAATCTTTCTTAGCTAATACTTTATCTGCTTCGTTTCTTGCTTCAATATTTTCACGATTTTGCGAACATGCAATGTCGTGTTGTTTACATTCAGCGTCCAGTGGATAAATTCCTTGGTCACCTTGAAACAAACGCTTTGCCAACTTTGTCCCAGGCCCACAAAATTGATCTGCAGCAACCGAAATATAAATTTTTGGAAAATGTCATCGGTAACGTGAATGGCGTTGAGTACTTTCCATTTAGTGAACATGAAGCAGTAGTATCTCCAAAAGATGCTAAACCAAATTCAATATTCACTTTTGATGACATTGCTTGTGAAAAGCAAGATAATGTTAGAGCTTTCTTTTGTATGGGTAGACATGTAAACGTTGACAGCTTCTATTTATGTCAAACGTATGCTCGTATTCCTAAACATCTAGTTCGAGATAATGTTAATTTATTGGTTCTATTTAGACAAGATGAAAAAAATCTGAAACATGTATACGAAGATCATGTTAATACAGATATGAGTTATACTCAATTTCGCGATTTATGTTCAGAATGTTGGAAATCTTATAATTATGGATTTGTTGTTATTGATAAGGACGGTAATTTTAATGAGGAGAGATATAGAAGAGGATTTGATTGCTTTATTACACTATAAATATAAGAACTTTATTGAATTTTTAATTAGTATAGATTATCTTGTATCAAAGAAAACATGTATCGAAAAGAGCAAGAAACACTTCGTCAAATAGCAAAAGCAAGTGATGCTATTAGGCAAAACATCGTTTACTCAAAATGGGTAAAGAGGCTGCAGAAACAGTATTAAAAAAACTCTTCAACCAATAGTAACACCTCTGGAAAAGTTGGTGAACATAACTGACATATCTTTCAAAAATATTAAAAAAGAGAAAGTTAAAAAGGAGAAAAATGATATTTCTTTCTAAACTGCTGTTGATGAGGAAGAGGAATTTGATAAAACACTACTTAATGACACTCTACTTGATAAGAGCAACAAGTTTGAAGAAGAAGGAGAAGAACTTAATTATGAAAATTTGACAAATAAATTTATTCAATTATTGAATAAAACAGAAAAAAATATTTAGACATGGTTTATGGAGTACGTAAGCTTCCTAATGGTTCTTTTATAATTGGAAATACACTAGTTGATTTAGAAGGTTCACATATTCAACTTGCTGGAAAGAAAAAATATTTAAAAACTGCTGGGTTGCTTGAACTTTTATTTAGACAAGAACCTAATCATGCATTAATAAGTTCAGATGATTTGGAAAATTATAAAGAAATTCTTGTAGCTACAAATGCACACCGAAAAAATTATAGTTCCAGTGGACTTGTCAACGTAACCAGAAATTCTAAATACACTGATGTCATTGCAAAACTTTTTAAGGGTACACCAAAGAAGGGAAGTGGTGTTTTAAACAGGAAGAAGAATCTTGGATAGAAATTACCTCAATTTATAATTTCAAAGAAACAATTTGAACCAGACTATATCTATTGGGATGATCCAAATGAATTAGTTGACCGATTACGCCTGCTAGTAGCATCGCAGCAAGCTGGAAATCCGAGCCATAATAATGAAATTATGTCAATCATCGAAGAACTACGTGAAGCTCGCATTATGTATTAGGAGAGTACAAAGCAAATAGAGCTTAGTATTAAAATGAGCATTGATGTGTTTGGACATCCCTTGTCACGGCCTCTTGCAAGTCGTGGACTTCTTGGACCTTCTGGTATTGGATTTAAAGTTACTCCAAGTGGACAATACGACATTGATAACAAAAGACTTTGCAACGTTTAAGACGCTGAAGAGCAACACGACGCAGTAAATTTAAGACAAGTAAAAAAAATTTTTAAAAACGAAATAAAAACCGTCTTTGCAGTTACAACTTCTTCAAGATCAGCTATTGATGACTTGACTATTCTTATTCAATCTATTGAAGAAAGAATTAACGAAAAACTTAAGCAGATTGAAACTGAGTTACAACTTGAACTACCTCTTCAAAACGCTAAATATATCGCTAAGTTGGATTCACGTTTAACCCATCTTAAAAATGGACGGTGAAAAGTTAACTGTTGCTAAAGAATTGCATAGACAAGCTAGAAAAAATTATCCTCGTCGAAAAGTTCAAATGCGGGGTATTGATGAAACCTGGCAAGCAGATTTGGTTGAAATGATACCTTATTCTTATTCTAATAAAGGTTTCAAATACATGCTCACAGTTATAGACATATTTTCCAAATATGCCTGGGCTATAGCTGTAAAGAGTAAGAATGGAAAGGATATTTCTCTAGCCATGAAAACTATTCTAAAACAAGGCCGAATTCCAAAAAATTTACATACTGATAGAGGCAAAGAATTTTACAATTCTGAATTTAAGAGTTTAATGCAAGAATTTAACATTAATCTCTATTCTACCTATAGTAATTTGAAAGCTTCAATTGTTGAAAGATTTAATCGCACTCTAAAAAATACGATGTGGCCTGAATTCAGCTTGCAAGGCAATTATAAATGGATTAATCTTTTACCAACTCTCATGATAAAGTACAATAATAAAAAGAATCGTGCTATTGGTATGAAACCCAAAGATGTCACCGTAGAAGATACAAGAGAACTGTTGAGACGTATCCGTAAACTACGTAGAATTCAGCTGAAAAGATGAGTACTCGAAAAGATCAAAATTCAAAGTTGGAGACAGAGTTCGAGTTAGCAAATACAAAAATATCGTTGAAAAAGGATATACTCCCAACTGGACAACAGAAATATTCACTGTGGAAAAAGTTAAATTAACAAAACCAGTTTACATACAAGCTGAAAGATTATCAAAATCAACCCATCGAAAGTGGTTTCTACGAAGAAGAATTGCTGAAAGTCCAATATCCAGATGTTTACCTTGTAGAAAAAGTTTTTAAAACTCGTGGTAATGATGTCTATGTAAAATGGCTTGGATTCGACAGCTCGCACAATAGTTGGATAAAAAAAATCTGATATGTAATATAGTTAAAGTAACGTTAAAGTATAGTTAAAGTAATGTTAAAGTATAGTTAAAGTAACGTTAAAATAAGTTAAAGTAAAGTTAAAATATAGTTAAATAAAGTTAAAGTATAGTTAAAATAAGCTAAGATTAGTTAGAATAAGATAAAATAAGTTAAATTGGTGTAACTAGATTAAGGTTTTTTTAAATAAAGTAAACATGAAATAAAATGTATAACATCTTTTATTCAAACAACTATTTGCTCCTCCTCCTCCTTTTTTTAAACAAATTATTGTCTATTTACATTAGTTCATCATCATTATCATCCTGCATATATTGTACTATTTTACAATGACCCCATGCAAGGGTGTCAGTGCTGTTTGCTAATAAATATCTTTTATCGTCATATGGGCTGAGTGCAATCTTCGTTTGCTTTAATGTTTGAACATTGTGCAGTTTTGACCAAATACAATATTGCGTCCTCGATTGGATTTTAACATTTCGTAGACAATAAAGATAATCATCAAAGTTAATATTTTTCTTAACAACTCCTACTTTTACTTCTTTAGCCTTTTTTATGAAATCTTTGTCTCGTACGCGAACGCTGTACATCTTGCTCCGCAAGCTAACAAATTCTGTTACAATTTTTCAACTGCACTCATCTTTCATGAGTCCTAAAATTTTTTTGTTGGCTTGCGGAATATTGTACACGTTATTTGTTGGGTAATCAGAAGTATCAAACTTTTAAATATCTTTTTTCATGTTTTCGTAAATGTCTGAGCACTTGATTTCATAAATAAGACTATCGGTGTCGGTATACAATAATTTTAATTTCTTTTCATCATACTTGTTCAACATGTACTTGTAGTGAAAATCATAGATTAGCGTTTTTGAAACATCTAGCACGGTTAAACCAATATAAACTGGTTTGTGTATTAGAACTTCCATTTTTCTAAGTTCCAAAGCAACCAAGTTTTTATTGAAAATGGCTCTGCTGTGGAAATTAGGTTTGGAAATTGAAGCTTCAGCTCCATATCTACCCTCCCACTTTGTTACGAGTTTGATATCAACATGTTTTCGCACGTTCTCCATTGTTTTGCCAAATACCGCGTTGTTCATTAATTTAAACAAGTTTTTCTCAAATTCATTACTGGCGTTTGTTCTTTGCGTAGTATTAAAGTCAATGTAACTCTTTAGCCAAGTAGATTGCTTGAATTTTAAGACTCGATGAATTTTAACTAATACGAGACCGTTGTCAATAGCTTGTTTTAAGGCACAATAATGGAGAATGTGCTTTCGTTTCGGTAGAAGGGTAGTTAAGAGCTTCTCCTGTTTTGACCCTGGTGGCTTCGAGCGTTCTGGACAAAATGGAAAATTGCTGTGTTTATCATGAAGCTGATCTGGATAATCCAAATCAACTTCCAAAATGTAACCGATAGTTGCATCGTCTGCAACATCGAAATCAAAAGTATTATCAATATTTTCTATCCACTCGAAGCCACCATAGGGAAGTGACTGAACCATGGCCCAACCGTACAGGTTGTTAGCGTCAAAGTACATGATTTAGATGTTTCCTCACTCTCATTGTAATTCTCCATATAAGGATTATTAGCTTTTGCGTAACGATTCATGCACCGCGTTCTATAAACATTACCATGTCAATGTCAGTGAGGAGTTCCAATCTTATATTCGTGTACTTCAACATGGCATCCCATGTTAGTCCCGGTGTTGTGTAATAATGCCCTGCGTCAAGACCGTACGCGACTAAACATTGATTTCTAAAATTTTCAAAAATGTCCGCGAGTAACAATATATCGGTTTGCATGTACAAGTATACGTAATCACCGAGATTTTGACAATTGAATTCATTCCAAACTTTCTGCGCGTGGGTATAATCATTATCAGAGACATTTGAATCGTTTAAAGTGCTATAAAATTTTTCTTTGGGTGGTAACTCTGTTTCATTGAGTTTTTCTCTTGAATCAATGTACTCGTAGGGAAAAACTCATTTTCGCGTTAACAATTGAATTTTGTCATCACTATAGTTGGAAAAAACAGAATTAACAATTTTGTACTCTTTAAGATAGGATGCTAACTTGTCCAATGATGATGCCATGAATTTAAAAGAATTGCTAAAACGGAATTTAATAAAATACCTTTTACATTTTTTGTAAAGCTGATGTAGTTCTTTTTGTTTATTTGAAGTAGTTCAACTTTTCCTTCAAATTCAGTAGCAATAGATTCAATGATAAAGTGTGCATCATAGCCGCTTAGGTTATGAAAGACAACAGGTATGGTTTGCGATTCATGGTAATTAATATTACATTCTTGATGCGCGGGTCCACGAAACTTTCCTGTTAGATGACAATGGTCTCTTACTTTTACTTGTCCAGGCTCGATTTTCTTTTTACAAATGACGGGTTCCACGTTAAGTGACCCAGGTCAAAATTTTAAATGTTTGGGATCGGGTAAAAATTTTGCAGAAACAATAGTCCTATTAGATACAATTAAAAATACCAAATATTATTAATTTATTTAAACAAATATAAAAACTGGAGGGGGTCAAAGTTTAAATTTTTGGTCTAACATGGAATATTTGAAAAATTTGTAGTTTCTTTAAAACAAAACGAAAATACGTTTTCTATTTTGGGTTTTTCTGCTGTTTTTCAACACTTTCTAATGGTGTAAACAAATGTAGAGAAAAAAAATGTTTGACCTTGAAAAATTAAATTAAAAAATAAAATTTCATTTTTTCTTCAAATGGACAGTTTTTATTTTAAAAAAAAATTTTTATCATAAAGGTGAGGTTTTTTCCTAAAAAAAATGTATAGGTCAAAACGTGGGACAAGAACTTTTAACTGGTCAAAATAAACATTTACTTCTGCAATCCACCGCCCCTGCGCGTTGTTGGGCTATATATTGTTTATAACAATTGAAATAAATTATTTTATGCTTTATTAATTATCTGGTGGTCATATTGGATGAATTTAAATTTATTTAGATCATGTGCATCAACGGAATAAGAAAATAAACCTCCTTTTTTAAAAAAGTGTATTAATTTGTTAACTTTGATTTAAAAAAAATTATAAATAATTATAATCTCCAAAATCGGCCTCGAAGGATGTCTTAAGAATTTATTCCTCTTTAATTTAAGACAAAGAACACTCAAATCGGTTAAAAATTGTAAGCTATAGACATTTTTTAATAGTAAATTGTAAAAAAAATTCCACTGTGGGACGGTGCACGGCAGAAGTAAATGCTTAATTTGACCAGTTAAAAGTTCTTGTCCCACGTTTTGACCTATACATTTTTTTTAGGAAAAAACCTCACCTTTATGATAAAATTTTTTTAAAAAAATTAAAAACTGCCCATTTGATAAAAAAATGAAATTTTATTTTTTAATTTAATTTTTCAAGGTCAAACAATTTTTTTTCTCTACATTTGTTCACACTATTAGAAAGTGTTGAAAAACAGCAGCAAAACCCAAAATAGAAAACGTATTTTCGTTTTGTTTTACAGAAACTACAAATTTTTCAAATATTCCATGTAAATTTTTGACCTGGGTCACTTGACGTGGAACCCGTCAAATATGACATGTGCTATCATTTCGGAAAGCTTCCCATTGCTAAGAACTTAAGAGTTTCTATAGGCACAGGATTTTTAAATAGAGAATCTATATTGTCAGCCAAATTTTTTAATTCCTTTGAAAACCACTTTGCTGGATACTCCTCATTTCTTGAAGACGCTTTGTATACAGACAAAGAATCATCAAAAGCGCACTTCAAGTAATATCCAATACTAAGAGTTTCATGATTTTGAAAAACTTCTGTAATGGATATTTCTTTTGGTGCTTCTGTAGAAATTAAAAGACTCTCACAATCCGCATAGATAATAAAAGGCACACGTTCCTTGTTTTGGAAATGTTGAAATTCAAGGATATTTTTTCCAAGTTGAGGCAATTTAATTCTTGTGTCGTTTATCACTCTACAATTTTCTTCATGCTCGTTCAGCTTAGATTCTTCTCCAAAATAGTGTAAGCAGCGATCACAGATGTATTTTTTTCTCTTCTTCTTTGACAGTTCTGAACTGACGAGTCACGACAAATCCTTGATCCAGACATAATGGTAGTTGAATGATATGATAGCAACTTCATCCTCCTCTTCCTTTTCGAGACTTTCGTCAATGTAGTGGTCTTCAACTCGTAAAAGGTTAACATGATGAATTTTCTTTTGTGATGATAGATGTAGAGTTGAAACACTGAATTTTTCATCTCTTTTGACAAGACCGTAAACGTTGACTGAAATGTTGTTTAAAGCCTCAAATTTTAAAATATCTTCAAGTGCAACTAAAAATTCAATTCCAGTAAAATCGAGTGAACCTTCGTATTGCCTGTATTTTGCAACTTTGTGTGCATGCTTATTATCTGAGGGATATAACGCTGACAATATTGACCATTTAAAACACTGGTTATCGGTGTTTTGAACATTTATGCAGGCATGCGTTTTATTGATAGCAGATGGCAAATTGATATAAGAGCTTGCACGCTTTGGGTTGTATTTGTTAATGTTAACTTCCAATCTTTCAATAGAATGAAGTCTCCAATTTTAATCTTTTTGTTGAAACTCTTCAATTCTTTTCAAAGTTGGTTGTTTTACATTCTCGTTGTACCATTGATCTAACGGGGTTGTACTTAATATTTCAACTGTTTTTGCAATAAACGTCTTCAAGTCAGATATTTCCTCTTTACCATTATGTAAATCTTTTACAAATTTCGCGCCTAACACCGTATACACTTTTAGCGAACCAAACCTGTTTAAAGCTTTTTGAATGTTAATTTCGAATAAACCAAAGGCATTATCTAAGAACACGTTAAAATCTTTATACTATAAATTTATAATAGCACTGGTTTGTAAACGATCATCGAATGCCTTATCAAAA